TTGGATCGCACCCTCCCGTAAAAAAAACCTGCCTACGCGCCTGCTTATGTACTCGCTTAGGCTCACGTTATTGCCGTGTCTCAGTAATTCCTCAAAGTCGTCAACCATTTATTGTTATTATTATTAATCGTTTAACATAAATGTTTTAGACCAACAGCAAGGACATTGCGGTGATGGCATTAGAGGACCTGGTTCGGCTTTCTTCTAACACCCAGCAGGTGCTCATCGCCCTGCGCTGTCTGGTGAGGCTCAGGCTGGCAGCCGAGGATGATGCAGGGTAGGTGAGAGAGACTAGGGGAGGGGAGATGCAGGGTAGGTGTGTGAGACTAGGGGAGATGCAGGGTAGGTGAGAGAGACAAGTGGAGATGCAGGGTAGGTGAGCGAGACTAGGAAAGATGCAGGGTAGGTGAGAGACTAGAGAAGATGCAGGGTAGGTGAGAAAGAGACTAGGGGAGATGCAGGGTAGGTGTGAGAGACTAGGAGAGATGCAGGGTAGGTGTGAGAGACTAGGGGAGATGCAGGGTAGGTGAGAGAGAGAGAGAGAGGGAGAGAGAGAGATTGAGAAAGAGAGAGCTGTGAGCTAGCTCGTCTACTGGCTCTATCTATAAACTACAATGTAATGGTTTACAATTTGCTATTGCACAATATATAATATATATTGTGTAATATATTATACCCTCCTGATATTATTAAGTGTACATCATGTAACAATTATTACATAGGATCGTCGACTTTGTCTCTACAGAACTCAGACTGGCAAAATATATTCATATGTCAAGGAAGCCTATGATCGTCTATCCACACCAGGTGGCGCCGGCATGCAGAACGAGATCACATGGTTCATTAAAGTCAGCTGGAACATGGGTCTACAGAGTGACAAGGATTGTAAAAGCTTGATGCAGTTTTTTAGCTGCTGTTGCCAGGTAGCTTATATTAATAATAAAATAAATAAATAAAATTAAATTAATGCAATTCATAAAATTGATGTTCCTAAAGTAGCTACTTCAGTATTGGTATATGCCTGCTGCTATTGATGGTTCATTCAAAGGAACTACTCCACAGTTGTTTCTTTATTTACTATACTGTCGTTGACCGTTACAACATATACTCGTCATCGTGTCTCGTAATCATGTGACTTTAATTTGCGATGACTGATATGTGTAATGATCTGCACTCTGTGTGTATATCTGTGATCTGTGTATATCTGTGATCTGTGTATATCTGTGATCTGTGTATATCTGTGATCTGTGTAGCTCTGTGCCTTGTGCCCACGGGATACAAAAGCCCTGCTTCGTCAGAAGTCCTGTATGCTTCTATGTGCAGCTGCTAGCCTTCAGATCAGTGACGAAACCTGTGATCGAGACGTAAAGGTTAGTCATCTAAAGTTTTTTTAGTTTTTTATTTATTCTTCATGTTGTATAGCATTGTATTGTACTGTATCAGTCAGAAATTTTATCATTTTAACTACTCAACACTATAGCTTTTATCAGATTTTTTCTCTATGAAAAAAAATTTCGCAGTACATGTATTTGTATCTGAATTACATGCAATAAAGATTTAATAATAATAATAATAATAATAATTTGTCCTACAGACCTGTCTATACGACAGGAACGAGGAATGCCACAATGGTGGGTTGGCATGCATTAATTCATGTTGGCTATGGGCCGAGATGGAAAAATCAGTCTAGAAAATGAGTTTCGTTTGACATTTCATGAAACCAATTTTAAATCTTGGTATAAGTTAATAGTACGCTGGTAGCATCAGAGAAATCGGCATCGGTATAAATACTATATGTATGGTTGATTATATCAAAACGTTTCTTGGTTCATTCAGTAGAAACGAGCAAGCTATATGATGGAACTTTTTCTAATAAAATATGTTTGTTTTTATTCTGTGTGGCTAAGAATTTTCTGCGTTGTGATTTATAGAAGAAACAGTTAGAAGAAACACTTCAGCTAGTTCAGAAGTGCCATCAGATCTGTAAAGAAATTAAGACAGCAGATGTTGGTAAGATTATTTTATATTGTAAGAATTCGATTATATTAGAAATTTGCTGCCCGTTATAATTGTTTTAACTTGTAATATGTCCATTTTCTACGTGCATGATATCAGGGGTGAATAATGACAAAATATTCATTATAAATTATTTGTTAAATATTAATTGTTAATCAATTTTGTTAATTTTTGTTAATAATGTATTAGTTGTTAATAAATTATTTGTTGAAGCCTAAAAAATTATTTGTCATTATTCACCCCTGATGATATTTAGATTTATTCCTCTTAAATCATGCATTCTTGTACCGTGTAACATTTCTGGTAGCCTCGTGTAGCTACTGCACATAACATATGTAACTGTAACACAGACAAGGATATCACGGCAGTGTCACTACTACTCTATGAGTTTAACATTTCTGGTAGCCTCGTACGTGTGCTGCACATAACATATGTAACTGTAACACAGACAAGGATATCACGGCAGTGTTACTACTACTCTATGAGTTTAACATTTCTGGTTGCCTCGTGTAGCTACTGCTCGTAACATATGTAACTGTAACACAGGCAAGGATAACACGGCAGTGTTACTACTACTCTACGAGTTTGAAGCCCAGGCTCAGCTGAGGGAAGATGCGGCTGCCATGACAACGCTACTGGACAGAGCTCTCTCTCATCCGCAAGCTGACGGAAAACTGTTTGATACGATCGCAGGTAATCGCGCGTGTGTCACGTCGGTGTAGATTACCAGCATTGCTGTATAGTTCTAGCTGGCTCTAACACGTAACACTAGATAAATAGATAGCTACTTCAGCACTAGATAAATAGATAGTTACTTCAGCACTAGATAAATAGATGGTTATTTTAGCACTAGATAAATAGATAGTTATTTCAGGACCATATAAATAGATGGTTATTTCAGCACTAGATGAATAGATGATTATTTCAGCACTAGATAAATAGATGGTTATTTTGGCACTCTTAAAAGAAACGACAATTACCGCCATTGCTGTATCACTGCCGTCTGGTTGGTTAAATTTATATCACAATTTATATTACCTCTCCCAACACTGCCCCACCAACGCCTTACACTGTCTAACCCTGGGCACCTTTACTTCTGACGTGTCAGGTGTGGCTGTCAAGTATGGTCGCAGTGTCGGACACAGAGAGGTTGCCACGAGGGCGTTGAAAGCAGCCGTACGCAAGTACCTGGGCACGCCCTCGCCGGACGTGCCGAGGATCAGGTGAGAACTAGCCAGGTAGCCTCATTTACTAATTAACCTGAGGTGCTTAGATATGTAACGCTGCTATGAACGTTTAGTGGAGGTTAATAATATGATTTTGGCAAACGTTTTTTTAATAACTTAAATGTAACCTTTTTTATGAACGGTTTACTAACCGTAACAGAACGTTTTTAGCAAACATTTTTAAATATACTTTATTATAAACGTTTTACAAACGTTAAGCAAACGTGTGTAGCAAACGTTTTTAAATAACATAAATATAACTTTACTCAAAACGTTTTACGAACGTTGAAAAAACGTTTCATTCATACCAAACCATAATATAACCATTTACAAAACGTTGCGAAAATGTTATGTGTTAGCTGTGTACGTCAGCGAATGAACGGAGTTGTAGTACAGGAGCTAAGGTGTATAATTGTGCACTTTTTTACAATAGTATGAAAATGGGCACATGTATAGTTTGATATGTACGTTCATATGAGATCGCGTACCTATCTCTAATATGTAATATGACATAGTCAGATGCAGCCTGTAGAATCGCTTGATCGTCCGGTCGTCCGTCCGTCCGTCAACAGTTGGGCACAAATCTTAACCGCTCGACGTACGGTCACGATATTCGGGTCGTTGGGGGGGATCGTCAAAACGAGTTGGGCTGTCGAAGCTGGGGGTCAAAGGGCAAAGGTCAAGAGGTGTAAAAGAAGGGGGAACATTCACTCCTTAACTTAAAGGAACAGTAGCCTCTAGGTTCTAGGGTTATTTTCAGCTAATTTAGGTTATAATTGCGCTACATAAAAAGTTTCATGGTTCAATCACCATTAGAAATATTTTTTTTAAATGTTTTAAAACTAACGACTACAGTTTGATTACAACGACGGTGGCGCCACTCAAAGCGCACAATCTGATAAGTTGCGCAAAACCACTTTCCAGCCAAGGGCTACAGACCGAGGGTATTTCTTATTTATTCATTTAAAAGCAAAAGGATTGTAATATCTTATAAACGACATATAGTTTCAGTTATAATATGGATAAATTTGCCTTAAAATGAATATCGTTCGGTTAAATAGCATTATAGGTATAAATATAATTGCACTTTTGTGATTAGCCCTCGGTCATTTACCTGCAAAATGAAAATGCAAATGCGCAACTTTTTCAGGGTGGCAGCACGGTCGCGGGTGTCATGGCGCTGTTCAAATTTTGTAACGTTGATGTGTAAATAATTAATTAAGTATCTGGTGACAAATACATGTGGGTATAGACGATTTGTTATACAGTAAGTACAGTTGTATGCAGTAAAATCCTAGAGGCTACTGTCCCTTTAAGGTATAGGGAGGAAATGCAGAATTGCGGCACAAATCTAAATGGCTTGACCTAGGCTCGTGATAGTTGGTGTATAGCATCATGGTAGGAAAAGCTATCACTGTGCCGAAATTGGAGGTCACAGGTCAAAGGTCAATGGGCACAGGGCAGATTTTAGACATTTTCTGAGGACATGGTCTGACGGAGCGATTGAAGAAACTTTTGTTTGTTGTCAAGCGAGTCGACCCCTAGGCAATATTTATGGCGATTATTGAAGGACCAGTGAAATCTACTTTTGCTGACATAGCGAAGAAGTAAGTGTGTCAGATAACCTTTTGACCCTCAGAAAGGGTACAACTTGATTTGTTGACTGTCTGTTAGAAAGAATTCTGAACTGCCCGGGTTTGCTAGTAGAATCTATACATGCCCTGGATTATGACGGCTGACAATGTCACAGTGAAATTTCAAAAGCCTAAATTTTCCGGTTAAAAGAAGGTGTAATGTTCCTTAAATCGTCATAATCTATGGCATTCTGTAAACTGGTCAGTATATTACATGTAAACGGTATGCCGCACTGGCCGAGTGGCTGCTGCCAGTGCATGGTGGTCGCAGTTTTTTGCCTGGCGTTAATTGGTTTACAGCAGCGTGGCGAGCTCTCTATTGAACATTATGCAGCGCTGTACGGCTGTCGTAGGATAAATGGATGAGTGCTTACCCCTATTCTGCTCTTGCAAATAGTTAAATTGCTACTGACGTACGATGAGAGCTTCCCATCTTTATCTAAGACACTTAAAAGTACGCGCGCATCCTCGTGGGCAACATTTCATAACGATCGCCGAACGAACCTTTCTTGTGAGAAGGTTCCTGATACCATGACCGCTGTGACATTCCATCTGTTTCGGCTGTATGTGAACACATCTGGGCCCTGCAAGCAGGGTTTACTAAATCGGCCATCGACTGCCACACACACGAGTCACCGCAGTAGACGCTTAGAGTGAGACGCTGTCGCTGCCGTCCACCCTTGTTATGTTTTATTATTCTATTATGAGTTATTTCCCGCCCAGGATCGATCCGTCAAAGCGGTGAGTGTAGACTGATAATGTCTCTCCGGGCTAGATAGTAATATACTAGTATATAATATATAAGTGTGTGTGTGTAGTGTGTGTGTGTGTGCGTGTGTGTGTGTGTGTGTATATATATATATATACTATAAGTATATATATATATATATATATGTATATGTGAAGACCCGATTCAAAATCCAAATATATATAACTTTCTAGGTATGGGCATGGCGTGTGTGTGTCCGCGAGCAAGTCACTTACACAGCCTCGTGGAGCTGGCACTAACAACTACGACCTCATTGCGGGAACGGAGGCGCTAAGGAGGACGCTGTGAAGCACATGGAGCAAGCCTATCAGCATCATAGAGTCACAGCCAACAGGTGTGTGTGCGTGTGTGTGTGTTTGTGTTTGTGTGTGTGTGCGTGTGTCTGTGTGTATCTGTGCATGTGCGTGTATCTGTGTGCATGTGTGGGTGCGTGCGTGTGTACGTATGTGTGTCTGTGTTTGTGTGCATCTGCGTTTGCGTTCATACTATTAAACTTTGTTTCCCCATAGTATAACCAGTCTTTCCTGGTAATATTCATTAAACATGCATTTTTCTTTTTGCTGCATCACAGGACAGCTTCCCAGAGATTGAGATCGTTTGGCTGATGACGAAGGCATGGAATACTGGCATAAATCTATTCAGGTGAGAAAAACGTAAAAGGAGTTATTCATCTTCTTTTATGTTCATCTAGTACATAAATCATTCATGTCGTGGCAACCGTTGTGTATATCAGTGCTTCTTAAACGGTTTCAGTGTCATTCACCCTCGAGTCTTTATCACAAAATTTCTTTCACCCGCGACTAAATTTCCTTATGTTTTTCGGAAATTTTCGTCTACGTTTCATTCACCCCCAAAATGGTTTCATTGACCCTTGGGTGAACCATTTACCAGTTTAAGAAGCACTGGATTATATAGCGTGGCTGATATGACGTTAATCAGTAATTCTTACAGGTTAAAGCCCGGTAATTTTACTCAAGTAAAATGATGCATGCGTCAAAATACTCAAGTGTGCGCCGGGCTTTAAGCATTTTATTATCTACGTTTGCAGTGCTGAGTGTAATGATGGGGCAAGGCAATGGTGTGAGATGGGACTGCAGTTATTGAAGCACCTATCCACGTTGCAAGATAGCTACAAAGAGCAGGTATAGTAATCGTGTACATATTCTCATACACTCACGCAATCGTACATACAACGAGAGACAGAGTGGGGGTGCATACGTACGTGTGTGTGTGCGTACGTGTGTGCGTAATAAGAGAGAAAAGTGACAAATGTAAATCTATTTGCCGTAAACAACATATAACTGCAACTGATTATATTATATTACGTTCGCGCATCAGGCAACAAATGTTTGATTCGGATAAACGTCCTACTTTTAAGTTTCCAATTAAAGAAACGAAATTAAAGCCGCGTACAAATATAAAATGTTTTGCTTATTTTTTTATAATAATTTATTATACTATTTTTAGTTTAATATATTTATTTTTAATTTAATTTTTTTAGATGACCTCTGCCTATGGTGAGATTCTGGCACGTATGGAGTCAGATCAGCATATCATGGCTTTCACCGAAGCAGGAATCTAAAGTGAAATTCATATAGTGAATACAATATTACACACGATTGGATCGCTTTGTGCTTGCAACGTTGAGAGTATAATCTCATACTGAAGTCCTAGTTGTGGTCCTGGTGGCAGGCTGACATGAGCTGTAGTATAAGAATGCATTTTACTGCATTTCTTTCGCAATATTATTGTTATTGTATACCTAATTTATACACATTGTAAGTTATCAAGTTTTATTTAAACTTAATTTGTATTTTATGAACTGTAATTGCGCAGCTATGTTATCAACATTTGAAATTATAATATTGTACTGCTGTGCTTATTCAATGTTTCTTTTAATATTATTCCGTACCAATTGTATAACAGTAAGTGTTTTTGGAAAAACCTGTTGTTAACACGTTAGTCATTCCACTCATATTTGGTGAGATATGCTTTATAATATATTGTCAAAAATCATTATACAGTTATACATATGTTATCCTTATTGTTAGGTGGGGGAGATGTATCTTAAGGCAAAAGGTCAGGCAGATGCTGAAAAAACTAGGTTTATAGCCTCGGCGTGGGCAGATACCAATAGATATCCACTATACTGAGTATAATAGAACAGTATATAGTCTATAGAATAATGACGTCTAAAACAATCCCTTCAATGCCCTTCACAACAGCAGCAGCTTCATGCAGCTTACCTTCAGATAACAAGGGCAATCGGAGATAGCAAACCTCCGCCACAGCGTAACAGTCCCCCCATCTTGCTGGTACACCCAATGATGGGTTTATTTTGAGTTTCTGATAGTATGAGCTTTGCTTGCTGGAAGCTTTAGTTTACATTTTGGCAGTCGGATTCAGTTTCACGCACCGTCCAATCACACGCAAAATCTAATCGATTGGTTCTTGGCCCCAGAACAACCCGTGCAAAAAAATGTCCTCAAAGTCCGTCCGTAACCTTTTGAGATATCGTGTTGACACTGGTACTGATTTCACTACATTTTGTCGTACGAGTTCGATGTGAATATCGCTAATTTACTAACCGACACCACTTTTGTGCCTAAACAACAGTCGCGCAGTCGGATAGTGGCCATACATTGAAAGAATTCGTTTTAAATTACCAGTAACCATCCACCCATCTCCATGTGCATGTCATTGTCACACACGTACTTGATGATTATTTCAACACTTGATGGCCAGCCTAAATAATGCAACCACAAAACCAAACTCCACGACAGATGGCGCTCTCGCTCATGGGCTCAATCTGCAAACAGCAGAAAGATGCGATATGATATGACTACTAGGCACTTTAATTTAATTTTTTTTTTTTTTAGGGTTAGGGTTAGGGTTAGCGTTAGGGTTAGGGTTAGGGTTAGAGTTAGGGTTAGGGTTTTTTTTTAAGTGCCTAGTAGTCATATCCTAAGTGCCTAGTAGTCATATCCTAAGTGCCTAGTAGTCATATCATATCGCATCTAACTGCCGGGTGCGCTCAATCTACCACTGCCACAAGTTGATTTCGGTTACAATTTGTAACGCTTTTTTACTACAAGTTTTACAGCAGGGACGTTACTCGTATGCTATGTAATAAAATTTGGACTAATAAAAGTTGCAAAGATATTAAAAATCCGACCGTTATTTCATGGAAAATTTGATAAAATAGTGATACGAAATGGTACGCGGATTAATTGTGCGCCCATTTACCTCTGTCAAATCATACGCTGTTTACGAATCTCTATTCGCTGGATTTCCCCTGAGCTCCGCCCACTTTAAAAATAGTGCTAGCCATGGGCGTAAATCACGGGGGGGGATGGGGGGATGCATCCCCCCCCGCTCTTGAAGGAGGGGGGATGTCCTGTACAAATATTCCCCCCCTGAGATTTAAAAAAAACTCCTTCCCAGGGGTAGAAATAAGGACAATATGCAAGTTAGCCCGAAGGGCTAGTAAGGTAAGGTTTGTACTAGCCCTTCTGGTTTTCAACTAGCCCTCAAAAGCATGATGTCGATAGTGGTTGCGCGGGAAAATTGTTGATCTCACGAATGCTCCAAGATGCTTTCTGAGGGTATTGTGTATTGTTTATATTGTGTATATATTGTGTATTGTTGTATTGAGAGGTTTGTTTTACAATCATTTTATTATTAAAACAGCCAGAGTGACTGTGAGTGTGACTATAACACTGTATGTATTTAACTTACGGTATACTTTACAGTATACCGGACCGTACCCAGCTAGGGTACCTTCCGGCAGTACCCTGGGGGACATAGACCCTATCAGGTACTCTAGGCAGTAAGCCAGTAGCCTGTATAGGCCTATACAGTATAGTATAGCTTAGGATGCTCACGTGTCACCTCGGTTCACGTGCCTACACGGTTCATGAACCGAGCTCACCAGTCTCGAGATCGGTGAGCTCGGTTTGTGACCCGTGCTCACCGATCTCGAGATCGGTGAGCTCGGTTCGCCGTCTACCTCGTGTACTAACTCTAATATCTCGCGAACAGTTTGAGTTACATTTCTAAAATTCTAGACACATATAAACACATGTCTTAGCTATGATTTCTGTAATTTTTAGCTCATCTGACATAGTCAGATGCAGCTTGTAGAATCGCTTGATCGTCCGTGCGTCCCGGACGTGGGTGCGTGAGCGACGTTGTTGTGACTGTGTTGTGCGGGGAGCGCGTCGTGTGCGACGTGTGCGTTAGGCGCGTGTGTGCGATCGTTGTTGCGTGAGCTCGTGTGTGTGACGTGTAGTGCGTGCAGCGCGGTGTGCCGAACGTGTGTGTACGATGTCGTGCGTGAGCGCGTGTGTGCGCACGTGTGTTGCGCGACGTTGTGTTGCGCGACGTGTGTGGCGTAGAGCGCGTGTGTGCGGCGTGTGTGCGACGTGCGGTGCGTGACCGCGCGCGTGTGTTGCCGACATGTGTGCCGTGAGCGCCGGTGTGCGAAGTGTGTGGTAAGGTCTGTGAGCGGCGTGTGTTGCGACGTGAATGCGGTGAGCGCGTATGTTGCGACGTGTGTGCGTCTGGCCATCAAGTGTTGAATAATCATCAAAGTAGGTGTGTGACAATGACATTGCACTATGGAGATGGGGGATGGTTACTTTGTTAATTTAAAACGAATTCTCTTCAATGTATGGCCCTATCCGACTTTGCCGCGCTGTTTTTCGGCACAAAGTGGTGTCGCCGTTAGTTAAATTTTTTTCCCCCCCCCGATATTCACATCGCAATCGTACGACAAAGATGTAGCTGAAATTAGTACCAAATACGTGTCAAACTAAGTTGTCTGCATTAACTCCTCATATATATATATTTGTGTGTGTGTGCTGTGTGTGTTGTGTGTGTGTGTGTTGTGTTTGTTTGTGCGTACGTGCATGCGTGGGTACCGTGCTGTGCGCGCGCGCGTGTCTGTAATGTCTCTGTCTACGTGCGTGCGTTCGTGTTGTGTGTGTTGTGTGTGTGTGTGTGTGGTGTTGTGTGTGAGAGAGAGAGAGTATGTGTGCGTGTGTGTCGTGCGTGCTGTTTGCGCGTGTGTGTGTGCGTGTGGGTGTGCGGTGTGAGGTAATGTGTGTGGTTTGTGTATGCGCGCCTGTGTACGTACGTGCGTATGTCGGGTACGCGCGCGCGTGATTACCCCAGTGTGTGTGTGTGTGTGCGGCGTGACGTGCGTGTGTACGCGCGCCGCGTGTGTGTGCATGTGCGGTGATGTGTGGTGCGTGTGCGGTTATGTATTGTGTGGTGTGTGTGTGGTAATGTGCGTGTGCGTGGTGTATGACATTTGCATATGGAGATGGGTGGGGATGGTAACTGGTAATTTAAAACGAATTCTTTTAATTGTATGGCCCTATTCGAACTGCGCGACTGTTGTTCAGGCCAACAAAAGTGGTGTCGGTTAGTAAATTCGCGATATTCACATTCGAACTCGTACGACAAAATGTAGCTGAAATCAGTACCAGTGTCAAACACATATCTCAAAAAGTTACGGACGGGCTTTGAGGACATTTTTTGCACGGGTTGTTCTGGGCCAAGAACCAATCGATTAGATTTTGTGTGTGATTGCGACGGTGCATGTGAAACTGAATCGACTGCCCAAAATGTAAACTAAACTTCCAGCAGCAAAGTCTCCCATACTATCAGAAACTCAAAATAACCATTCATTGGGTTGTACCAGCAAGATGGGGGGGCACTGTTACGCTGTGGCGGAGGTTGCAATCTCCGGATTGCCCTTGTTATTCTGAAGGTAAGCTGCATGAAGTGTGCTGTTGTGAAAGGCATTGGTGAAGGGATTGTTCAGACGTCAGTATTCTATAGACTATATACTGTTCTATTATACTCAGTATAGTGGATATCTATGCGTGTCTGCCCACGGCCGAGGCTATATAACCTAGGTTTTCACATCATCTGCTGAGCCCTTTGCCTTAAATACCATTAACCCCCACCTAACAATCAGCGATAACATATATAACTGTAGTGTATAATTCGATTTTTGGACAAGTATATTGTATAAGCATATCTCAACAAAATATGAGTCGGAATGACTAACGTGTGTAAACACAGGGTTTTCCAAAAAAACACTTACTGTTATACAATTGGTACGGAATAATATTAAGAAACTTGAATAAGCACAGCAGACTACAATTATTTATATTTACAAATTATTGATACATTAGTGCGCAATTACTGCTTCATAAAATACAAATTAAGTTTAATAAAACTTGATAACTTACCCAATGTGTATAATTAGGTTACAATAACAATAATATTGGCGGAAAGAAATGCAGTAAAAATGCATTCTTATACTACAGCTCATGTAGGCCTGCTACCAGGACCACAACTAGGACTGCAGGTATGATATACTCTCAACGGTTTGCAAGCAAAAGCGTCCAATCGTGTGTAATATTGTATTAACTATATGATTTCCTTTTAGATATCCTGGCTTTCGGTGAAAGCCATGATATGTTTGATTCTGACTCCATACAGTGCCAAGGAATCTCACCATAGGCAGAGGTCATTCTGAAAAAATTCAATTAAAATAAATATATTAAACTAAAATAAGTATATAAATTGGAAAAATAAAAAATTAAATAAGCAAAATTTTATATTTTTACGCGCGCTTTAATTCGATTTTTTAATTGGAAACTTAAAGTAGGACGGTTTATCGAATCAACATTTGGTTGCCTTGATGCGCGAACGTAATATAATATAATCATTTGGCAGTTGATAAGTGTTACGGAAATCAGATTTACATTTCTGTCACTTTTCTCTCTTATTACACACACACGTTACGCACATCACACAGCGTACGTATGACCCCCAATCTGTCTCTCGTTGTATGTAGAATTGCGTGAGTGTATGAGAATATGTACAGCGATTACTATACACTGTTCTTGTAGCTATCTTGCAGCGTGGGATGAGGTCTTCAATAACTGCAGTCCATCTCACACCATTTGCCTTGCCCATCATTAGCACTCAGCACTGCAAACGCTGATAATAAACTCTTAAAGCCCGGCGCACACGTGAGTATTTTGACGCATGCATCGATTTTACTTGAGTA